AGATCAAACTCGACAACCAAATTTGGAGAGTTGAAAGTCGAAAGTTGTCGATATACGTAGAGGCCGTCGAACAGAATGGATGGAAATCATTTAGACGGAGGAAATTGTTATTATTATGAAGTTGCTTTCAAAAGAGAAATAGAAAAGCAAATATCAAATAAGCATTGCAAGAATATACCAAAGGAATATTCATCAAATTTTTTTAATGATATACGAAGATAAACTCTTCGTGAAAACTTCTTTTCCTCTCATTCTCAAGCAGCATTTGCAGTTATTTATATTTATTTTTTAACGACATACGAAGATAACTTCTTCGACTTTGTGAAAACTTCTTTTCATCTAATTCTCAAGTATTTCAAGATATTTATATTTATTATATATCCTCAATTTGTCTAATCCTTGCAAAATAAATCCCAAGTCGAGATTCAAATTTTAAATTAAATTTTTCAGTGTCGAAACTCATTTTACGGCTAATCGACAGTGCGTAACGATATCTAATTTTATTCGTACAAGTAATAGAAGTAATAAATATACGTGTCTCAAGTGCAATAAAATGCAAGATGAAAAATATTTCGTCAAATCAGTCGGTATTAATAAATGGCAGATTGTAATAGATATCTCCTTGAAAGCATTAAACGAGCAAATTAATTCGCGAGATATCTCGTCGCGAGAAAGTGTTAAAGTGTTGTGAAAGCGTTGTTAAAGATAAAAACACGAAATTGAAATAATTTGATCATTCGAATACGATAATTCATTGTTATAACTTGTTATTGTTCATCTATGAATTGGTGGAATACAAGCGAACAATTAGGAAACTACGAGGGATTTGAGAATCGATTTTTATCTTTTTCCAAGAAGATTTTTGGAATACAGTGAATATAACGATAAAAAATAGCAGGAATAACGGAATAAAAAAAAGAAGGAATAATGTGAATTTTTTTGTTTCTTTTTCATTTGTCTTTTTTTACTTTGTGGAAGGTTTTTAAATTTGAAAAGGATTAATTGTTATAAATCATTGATTGACGATGAAAGTCAATTTATTATATAATTGAGAAAGTTTTGTCGAATTTTTATGATGGAAGAGAGAAATAAAAAAAAAAAAAAAAGGAAAAAGATATTTTAAAAATGATTAGAGAATGGACATAAATAAGATTGTAAGAGTTATAATATATACTTTTTCTTTCTCTTTCATTTCTTCAGTCGTGCATCTTTCATTCATCGAAGAAATGAGAATTGTATAATTTATTTTTAATACATGTGAAATATATTGTAAAGGAACGTGTATGAAAATTGAAATATTTAAAAAAATTGTATGCAAAATAATTATAATTATTTTATCGATTTATCGATTTATTTATTAAAATTTTTGTTCTTCGATTATTTTTCTAATATTAAAATGCCAAGATATTTTTTCTTTAAACTTTATATATATCCATAAAAAATGGAAGAAGAAGATACTAGATAGTACTTCTATATCCTACTTCTCTTCTATTGTAAGTCAGTCTTTTATATCCATGTGTACTCGATGCGAGTACATAGTTGTAGGAAAGATTACTAGAGATAGAAGTAGAGATTCAAGTATATAATTCTTCTGAAGATTGCATATTTTCCAAGAACAATACAACTATATATACAGCTATATATTGTTAGATTTAAATATTTTACGATAATTTTACGTGAGATATTGCTGCAATATAATAAAATGTCTCATTTACATTAAATTAATCTCTCTTTCCAATAATTTTTAACTTTTTCCACTTTCATTAAGATACGAGTAATGATTATTATATACAAAGAAATATTCTTTTCATTTAAATAAAAAAAGATATAAAAAGTACGAATATATATATATATATATCCACTTATTCTTAATTTATCAAATCAATGAATACAATTAATCATTTTCAAAAATATTTCACTCGTTAATAAAAATTTCTCTCAAATATTCTCGGATATTGTACATTTATAAGATTCAAGTTACACGAGATTTTCATTTCGAATTATTCGAGTAATCGTTGCTAAATTATCTCTGGAATATCTGACGTTATCTCTGTATCTGGCGCGAGTAAATCATTTGCATTTGCATTTACTTCCACTCTAGTAATAATCGCTCTTATAAGCGGTGATTTCGTTATCGGATTAATATGTAGATTGATTAAAAAAGAAACATTAAAGAACGATCGAAGAAAGGAGGAAAGATAGAGCGAAGAAAAAGGTAAAGAAAAAGAAAAAGAAAAAGAAAAGAAAAAAAAAAGGAAAATAGGGAGAGAATGAAAGAAGATAGCGGTGTGAAAGATGACCTTAAAAGAATCTGCGTCGAAAATGAAAAATGCATTCAAACTCTTTCGTCCTCATTTACTCCGTGCTCCATTACCAGAGCATTTTCTCGTACGCCAGCATGGGGACAAGGAACCACATTTAAGCGGCGAAATATCTTTTTTTTCTTTTTTTTTTTTTTTATTCCGTGAAAACGGTGGCTTTACGATGGAAAAATGGGACCGCGGGAAATGAGGAAACATCGAAAGCCACCGGAAAACCTTTAACTGTGCGTTTCAATCATGCGACACAGCATGCCTTTAACTATAGTAAATCTAGGTGAAGATCGTAATTGCGTTTAAGTACAAAAACGGTTGAATATCGAGAAAAAACGGGACCAACGTTTATTCAAGAACTTTTTTTTTTTAACTATAAAATATTTGATTCTGATTATTCAAGTTAAGAAGTGGTGTTTAGAAAATGGAAAAATATTGTTGGTATTGATTTAATTATAAAATAACTTATATTATCATTTAAAAATTATTGATAACTGGAAATTATTTTAATTCCATATTATAAAATATATATTGTATATCGGATTTTTCAAGAGAAAATTCTATTCAATATTATTTAAAATAGTTCTGATTGAAGATTTATTCTGCCTGGAAGGAATTCTAAAAATTATTGCTCACTTATTCTAAAAAAAAACACTATTTTCAAATTATCTTCTTGAAAAAGAAAAAAAAATTTAATGACGGAAAATTACCTGGTAAAATTGCAACTACCAATCTAATTATCGTATTACGTAACATATAATGAACATAATAAAACATAACGCAAAAAACTTAGAAACTAACAAAATTCATCGTTTTTTTCAGATTTATTCGTTTCTCTAAATTTTAGAATTGATAAAATAATTGAAGAATAACAAAAATAGGAAATATTCATTTTTAATAATTTTATAATCCAAAATGGATTTATAATTTAAATTATTTTATATGGCAATTGATTAAAAACAGAGATAGAATAGAATGGAATGAAATAGAATAAGATAGAAATTATAAAAAACAGAATACATAAGTGTAAAATTATAATAAAATGAAAAGAATGAAATGAATGAATGTATTGAGGTAAAAACGTAAATCAAGTCAAATTTTTTTGGCTCAAAAGTTGAAATAAAGATTATTTTATTTTCTATATTAAAAATTCGATAAAATAAATTAATTAAAAAAAATTGTCAACAAACAAAATGTCAATATTGGTTCTTGGACAAATTAAAATTAAAAAAAAAAAAGAATAAGCACAATAAAGTCGAGTCGACGATCTTTCTTATTTCATATTCTATGCCCAAATGGTGGTGCACCTTCCCAGAACGAACTTTTCCATCTATTAGACGCGATTCTATTTCGTGGTATAATGGGAGAAACGAGCACGTAAATTGAACTGTCACACGGAATTAACGTTAACGAGAAAATCGTTCGCAAATCCGTTTTGCGACTTACGTATTTGCAATCTCTTTGCTTTGTCTGTGCCTCCGGAGTTTTGCCTATGTTCGTTCATGCGTGATAATTTGCGCATACACAAGGTTACTCCCCCGGGATAGGTGTGCTTTGAAACGTTTTAAAAGCGAGCGCTTCCTAAGGACCGTGCTTCTTTTTTTCCCGACAAAAAGAACACACCGAAACTTGTACGGCATCGCTGGAACACCGTTAACACTTTGCGAACGACAATTTTGATTCAACTTTATCCTCGAATGTTACGTAAAGAAATTTGACAAAAATTTTAGATGTAACAATTAATCGCAGATTTATAATTGATTCCTTCCTTTTATCGATATTTTTTCGATTGCAACGAGAATCACGACATAATTATAATATGATAGAATGATAATTACACAATTTTTAAAATTCTCTAGAAAACATATACATTAAGAAATCTAATTTCTAATAAAGACTCGTGTTCTTTTCAATAAAAAAAAAGATTAATTAATATCGTCATATCATAGTATATGACATTAATGATTAAAATTTATGAGAATCTATACTTCAAAAAACAATTTTTAATCCAGAATCTGTAGTAATGAATTGATAAAAAAGATAGTTATTGTGATATACTATTAATGATTAAAAATTTAGTGAAAATCTTAAATCCTAATTTCTGATCAAGAATCTATGATTGTGATGTGAAGCAATAAAAAAGAGCAATTGATATAATCGTATTACGATACATGACATTAACGATTAAAATAGCCAGCCAAGTAGCGAGGACAGGATATTGTGTGATATATAACGTCAGATTCGATTAATGCCGCTCGGTCGCATGGAAAGAGCGTTGGAGTCTAGTAGGCGGTTGATCGTGTAGTCCTCGAACGAAAGCAAACATTCTTGTCGAGAATGTACGTGTACGTAAGTTGTCGATCGTTACAGCCGCACAGTATAATGCACTCTAAATGAACGCATCACAGTGCATCGATCGAGCCCTGTAAACCGTTTGACAGGTAGCACACGATGCTTAATTGGCAAGCATTTAAGAGAAATTTCACGAAACAAGTACACTGTGGTCACTACATCGATCGTGATGCGCGTTGCGCGTGACATTTGCCGCTTGTTCGCCGAGAGGGTAAAAAAATAAAAATTGTCATCGAAACTAGTCGAGAAGAAATTGTCCGAGACGATCGATTCGCGATGGTTACATGTCTGACGTGTTATTTCTGTTTTTCTCTTTTGAATCGAAACGGTACTTACTTGAACCCGGCAGACCATCAAGACGCCCAGCAGTGCGGGCACCAGCATCCCCTTCATCTTTCTTCCTTGATTGACTGTTCGTAAAACTCCTGCACGATGTGTCGTTTGGATTCCTCTCGTAATGATTCCTGGCTTAGTTCGATCTTCTACGAAGAAATGACGATGCACTGACTAACAAACGCCAGAAACGTTGCAGAACAAATTGCTATATGCAAGACACCACTCACCCGCCGTATACGAGAGCACAGCGTACTACTGTGACACTGCTGCTGGGTGGGTCGCTTTACGAGAAATCAAGATGGAGGTGAAGCGCGGCGCCGGTGCCGCTGAAACGATTCGACCAATCAAAAGCTGTCACTAGATGACCGCGCCGGAGGGTGCGTTCACATGCGCGCAATGGTCAGTCGATAATGTGGCGGGAATATCGTGATTTTAAATGATATACTTCATCGTACTATGTAATTGTCAACTTTTGACAGATTTTCCGGCGGAAATGTTACTTTCAACAAAACATTTGACGGCTATTCTATTCAAACTGTTAGTATTAATCAATAAAATAGCTTTTATATAAAAAAATAATTTAAAACATATAAATAAAAATTAAAATTTATATATATATTAAATATAGGAAATTCTTTATCTAAATTAATTATATAGATTACATTTAAGATAAACAATTTGAACTATTTGTATTTAAATAAATTTTATTTAAATAATTTAATTAAATATTTAAATAAATTTTAATTAATTAAATTTATATGTTATATTATATTATAATTTAATATTTTCATAAAAATATAAAAAAAATTAAATATAAGTATTATTTATTGTAATCAAATCATTGTTTCGATCAATATGTCAGATTATTTATTTCTTTACTTTTTTCTATTGAAAATATTGTTAAGAATCATTCAAAAACCATCGGGAAAAAAATAGCAAATAGAATGAAAATTAAAATAACAAATCGAATTATTTATATTATAATGAAGATAATTTTATATGATTAATAATATTCTAAAATGAAAACATTTAATATTATCTATATAATCATTGCTTTGCAACATATGTAATAAATGTTAATCGAATCGTATGTGATTATCATTCTGAATCGAAACATGATTAACAACGCATAATTGTATAAATATTCAATTAAATGATAAATTTAATTTATATTTCAAAGGTTTCACGCATTTGATATAGGCAACCAAAATATCATACGTATAGAACATACGTATAAAAAGCCTAATACCAATCGATGACAAAGTTAGGCGCGTGATTCGTCGCAATCAACTGACTTTCGAATGTTTCGATTTCCAACAAAAAATAAAATAAAATAAACCTGACAACATATAGCATATATTCATATACGATCGAAAGAAAACATTATCGATCGAAACAACGATTTATAGATGTACTTATCTATCATAGTCACCATTACACATCGATAATAACGGTATGAATATAAGAAGAATAATATTCCGCGCTATGACATCATTTACATTCGCCTCTAATACTTAACCATGCTGTAATACGTAATCAAGACGAGACAGAGAAGGGTTGAGGAGAGAGAGGAACGAAATCAAACGGTATACAATGCAATATCGTGAGCAGCATATTATATTAAAAACTTTTTAAGCTTGACAAATTACCTGAGACTGTATCATTACATTCGCTTAGTTTCGGTTCTCATTTTTTTACGGTTTAGAGAAACGTATACATATATCTTATCAAAAGTCTCTGAGCATTTCGTTTTGTTAACAACCGCATACCCTAGTCTGACTTTTCTATTTTTCGTCTAAGCCACCGGACCCAGGGAAATTACACATTCCGCGTGGTTTCATCTGTTTTTCTTCTTCCCCGCGCCCCTAACCTCACTGTCTCTTCTTTTATACATACCTTCATCTCTTTCTTTTTTTCAGGAAAGCATGAAAACGCACGAGCAGATAGCCTTGGCCCATACCTTTGCCCGTGTGTCGGCCACCGTACCCACTGGTTACCCTGGAAACGGTATCGATTTCAACCCTCAGCTATGCAGTAGAAACCAGCGGCACACCATGGGGGTCTCTTCATCCCGAGTTTCGACAAGACAGCCCGTTTAAACTACCCGATTACACCAACCTCCATCTCTATTACCGTCTTACATTTCGTTTCGCGTACTTCACAAATTCAGTTCTTCGAATGATGTTTGAGGTTAGGGGACACCGTGAAATTAACGGCGAAATTTGGAACTATTACGAACTACTTTTTTGATTCAATGATTTCCGCTTTTGTAGAGGCTAATTCAGCGCATTTACTTATGTTAATATAAAATCCTCTTTATTATACGAAAGATATATGTTTATAGAAGAATATTACATTCAGTTCAGAAAAATAAATGCATTATATTGGCTGATACAGAGATCTAAATATCCCAACAATGAATACAAAATATTCTGTATCTGTATATAGTAAATTTAATTAGCTTTTTAAATTTAACATAATTATTTAGAAAATAGGATAAATGTTTAATGAAAATAAAAAAATCCTGTAAAAACTTCGTATTTCGCAATGTAATTTCAAATTTTAATCTTAATAATAATACGAATTTAAAAATTAAAAGCAAGAGTATCAATTAAGAATAATATACGCGCACTTTTCTTAAATTTTTTTTTATGTTTATTATATAATTAAATTCCTTTTATTATAAACTATTATTTTACATAAAACAACAAAATTGAATTAACATCGATCGATCGATGAACATAAAAATACCACAGAAGAGTTCATCTCTTCATGGTTTCTGTTCCTCGTGAACTTCATATAATCCGCAAACTTTATTAGCCGGTAAAGCTTTATCTAAAAGGGTAAACAAAATTTTATGCTTATAAAAGTTTAAAAAGTAGTAATAGTTACAAAAATATCAACCTTTGTCATGATTTTCAAATAAAACTTTGAAAATTATATAACGTTTTAAATATACAATACGTAAATGAATTAACATACCTATCATTTTTGGATAAGACAGATTAAGATTATTCATTATGTTCACAAATTCATTTAGTGATTTAGATAATCTCGGATTAAGAATCTTCTCCTCAGCCACTGTAGTTACCGTTCTGCCACAATAATCATGGGCTGGATATAGCTTAAAATTTTGTGGCAATGTAAAGATTTTTGTATGAATTGATTTATACAAAATCTCTGATGATCCACCCTATAATAAATAAAAATAATAAAAATTAATTTATTTTTAAATTATATTAAAAATTAATTAAATTTTAAATTATATTAGAAACAGTAATATAATAATAAATTAATAATAGATTGAGAAATGATTAAACGTTCCGTTTATATTCATTTTTTATTCAAATTTTTATATGGAAAAAATTTAATCTGTCTATTAATCTAAAAAATTCATATTAAGAAATACAAATAATAAGAAAGGAAATAAAAATTTTAATTATAATAATTACAAATTCCAGAAAGAAGTTTGTTTAGGGAGACATTTCATAATTATTTTATTTTCTCTGTAATAATGGTATGTACATTTATTATTGGCAAGATTGGGTGCATCTGTGAATATTTTAGCTTTTCACTTTAGTCATTCTATTCATTTATTAAAAAATATAATATTTTTATAAATTTAAAAAATCAATAATTAATCAAATTCATTTGAAATAATTGGAATTTATAAATTAATGAAGTGCAATTTAATCTAAAAAACTGCTGTTATATTTTAATCTATATTTTTGAAAATTTAATTAAATATCATCGATTAATATAATATAAATAAATCTATAAAATGAAAATAATACAAAAAATAATACAAAAATATAATATTTTATTTAAATAAATAATGATGTGACACTTTTAAAATTATTAGCTTCTAAATAAATGATGCATAATACGCAGAAGTTATCACATACAATATTGAACATACATAATTTTACGTCAGCACTTTCCGTATGAAGTATCCATCGTCGCCAGATTTTAAGATTGAACGCTCTCTACCATCCCTTGCGGTTCATAAATTAAATGTTCCGTAAAATACGATATTTAAAACGTTTATAACGTTCTTCACGATTGCGTCAATGAAATATATTGAATATAAATATATATTTAGTAATTATAAAATAAAATCTATAAAAACATAATAAATAGATTCGCGTAAAATATTAGTTTCACAAATAAAATTTTTCTTCGAAATTATAAAATTCGAAAAAAAAATTCGAAGAAAAAATTTAAAATATTTCTCTAAATTTTTTTTTATTTACAAATCATTTTAAAATAATTAATCGAAAAAATTAATTAAATAGAATAAAGAATATTTCTATATATTTTTATATTTATTTCCAATAAAATCTTTGCAATATTTTTTCCAAGTTTAAATTTATTTTAAAAAAAACTTTTATACAAACCTGGAAATCTGTTCGTCCACATCCACGTATTAAAAGTGCATCGCCAGTAAATGCAATGCCTTGTTCGTAGCAGACATAAGTAACACAACCTATTAAAATATTAATTTATCGATTATAAGCTTACATGGTATTATACTGAAAAACAAATTCATTGAAAATTTGATGTTTTAAAATGTAAAATATTAAAATGTAAGATTTAATAAATATAAATGTAATGATATAAGTTTTATCGATCAGTTCCTGTTTTTTTATCATTTCTGATGTAGTTCAATATTTTAAATGTAATAAAACTATAAAAAAACTAGATAAAAATAGGAAGACACAAATAAACACAAATAAAGTAAAAACAAACTCATACATCACCAATATAAAATATTACATTGTTACAAATGAAATATACAATAGTAGCATAGTAGAAAATGGCAATAATGCATCATATTGTAACATTAAAAAAATAAAATAATGTTGCCAAAATATCAAAATATAAACAAATATTTTATCTATATGTTAAGAATAACAAAAAATAAAAAAAACATAATAAATTAATAATAATAAATAAATATATTTATTCAATAAAAAGATATCTATTTCTTCTAATAAATATTTATATTTTATATTATATTTATTATTAAAAATGTAATAATATAATATCAAAAACAAATTTTTCGTGTACTAAATTAATTAATATACTTCAATATAGATAAAATAATTACCTATAATTAATTTAATTAATAAATTGATTACAAAATATTAATTCTATGAAATGATAATATATCTAATTATTATTTTCAATTATAAGTTCATCATTAATTTATATTGTTTATTAATATTTCATTAATGTATCATTGTTATTATTATACATATCACATTATTATAATAAATCAAAAGGATCAGGTATATTTATAAACAACAGTGTATGTACAACGTGTTAATATATTCATATGATGGAAAGAGAGTAAGAACGTTTTATTTCGCTCTCTTTCCTCTTATTCAACGCAAGTCTAAATTGCTTATAATTTATAATAAATACATTTCAATTGATATTTTTACTAACCAATTTTTATTTTTGTTTTAGATTCTTAGAAAAGACTCTTCAAACTTGCTCCACGAATATATCAACACTCTGTATAACACATTCTTAAGTGAGTAAGTACTTCTAATATAATGAAAAAAAAAAAAAGAAAGAAAAAAATATCTGACCTTCGGTATGTCCGGGTGTAGGAAGCACCTGTAAATTATGCCTGCCGAAGCATATTTGGTCATCCGGATTCAAGAGTATATCAGCCTTAGCGCCGCTGCTACGTGATATCATTGACTGGCAACCAGGTAACAAACACTTGAGCCTTCCTGTTCCGGTGATATGATCAGCGTGCATATGCGTATTTACTGCAAAAGGTATTTACCCATACGGGGAGAGGTTATCGGTCATCACAAATGCTTTTCATTGGCCGGCGGCCATCCTTCTCAAAATTCACTTTAATATTAAAATTTTACTCAATAGGGTTCACTTCTCGCATTCAAAGCTTTTAGATATTTTCATTAATATATTCGTAACAGTTAATAATACATAACATAAATGAGAACGAGAGAGAATTATTTCGATTAAGTTTTTCAATTAAATCGTGACACGCGCTTTTTGTAAAATGCGAGAAGAAAGTTACATAATGAAAAAAAATGGCACGTAATAAGAAAATATTTATTTTTATGTAAAAATCTCGTTCAAAAGCATGAGGACAGTTGGAAGATTTAATAATGTCACGTTTTCGAATTTTTATAATAAATGATTATTTATCTGTATATATATATATATATATATATATATATATATATACAGATAATATATATATATGTATGTCTGTAAAATAAAATTATTATATAGTGGAATCTTAGACTTATAAAATTAAATAAATTTTTCGTTTATGGTCTTCATTTGCTTGATTATAATAATATCTGGAAGAAGTTATGAAATAATTAATGAATTTCTTTAAACTTCATATATTTTGTTTTTATCACGTAAGTATATTATATTCTATAAATAATCCATAAAATATCTTACCTATGCCATGAATAATAAATATATTTTTTTTTTCATTTATATATACATTCATCTTATTATTTTATCATTGGAAATTTGGATAATAAACAAAGAAAACTCAGAAGCATATATGGCAGCAGACATATGAGACATCGCGCAATGAGGAGAATCAAGCCTGAAAAGCGGATTGGAGATGTAAAAATGAAATTATGTACAATGAAGATGCATCATAGATAAGCATCTAATAAATATTTAAATAATTTAATTATATACATTGATATAATTAGAATATTTAAAGCATATTAAAATATATATAAAAAAAAAAAAATAAGCGATCATTCATAAGCATAATTTTCAAAGCGAAATATGATTGAGAATGATGAATGTCGTCATACTTTTGAACAGAAGTGTATACATTACGTAATATAATGTTTTATATAATTAAGCTGTATTGTATATGTTTTTAATTTTTATATTAATATTTATTTTTAGTTAACTGAATTTAAATAAATTGATTAAATTTTAATACATTCAGATAATTCTTTATAAAAGGAAACTTAAAAATTTATATTTTCTCGTCAAAAAAATTTTTAAACCATATGCATTTTCATAAATTATTTTTATACATTGTCTTCTTCTAAATAATTTTTTCGTAAATCGATTTTATTTTATCATAAATCGATTTACATGTAATAAGATATATACATGTAAATAAAATAATACGATATTTTAACTTTCTTAATAAAACATAGATATCACTGACCACTTTATTATCATAACGACTCTGTTTTCACTTCATAACGGTTGTATCATGTTTATAAACAACGATTAATTAAATTAGCACTAAGTCTCTCGTCCGATTAGAAAATTTAATTATCTATAAGAGTAAAATTGAATTACTTCCATGATAATCCGTTGATACATAATTACAAGATATTTACAAATTATTTAAATAAAGGTTATCATAATCGTTGGATTGAAGATATGTTCGCTATGATCATCGCATTTAAAATTATCTTTTTATTCAACGTATATATAATATTATATTTTAATTCCAATTATTAATTAATATGTTAGAAATATGTAAGAAATATTTGAACAATACGTTGAATATTTTGAACAATATTTTCTGAATATTTTATACTTCAAAAATTATTTGGAAGCGTGAAAAGGATTGTAAAGATAAAAAGTATTTATTATATTTCTATTAAATTTTAAAATATTTCATAAGTTATTCAGTTTCTCGTTTAATTTTCATCTAATCCCATCTAATATGTAACTGCTTTTATGATAAAAAATGGTAATGATTTCATGCAAAAATTCCATTAAATAAAACCATTGAATACAATTGCGCTGTACAATTATATCAATAAAACTCCAATATACAATACATAAAAACAATTTAAAACAGGAAAAACATATCATTTAATTTAACTTTCTAAATTNAATGGTAATGATTTCATGCAAAAATTCCATTAAATAAAACCATTGAATACAATTGCGCTGTACAATTATATCAATAAAACTCCAGTATACAATACATAAAAACAATTTAAAACAGGAAAAACATATCATTTAATTTAACTTTTTAAATTGTTTTTTTATATCAAATAAATATCCATTAATACATAAGAGTAACATAACAATATCATTTAATTTCTCTCTTTTAAGCTTTCCTTTTTTTTACTTCAAATTTTTATCAAAAATACATATAGCTTTGCCCAATTACATGAAATAACTTGTATGTGTATAAATTACGCTTTGATTTTTTTTCAATAAGCCGATAGCCATATAATTAATGTTTTCAAGTGGACTTTTACGCTTTACTTCGAATGGAAGACTTCGAGTGGCAATTTGAACAATTAAGCGCACGGTTTCCTTAATAATACTTGCACTTCATTAAATTATTGAATTATCGATGTGTTCGCGCTCAATAGACTCCAGTTAAGAAGTTTTAATCGACGAGAACATTTTTGACCCTATTGTATGAAATGATATATCAACGCGGTACATTAAATCGGTATTGTCTACAGTTTCATCGTGCTCTTTAATTTATATTTCTTTTATGTAATCAGATTGAAATAATTGATAATTAATTTAGTTGTTTGTTCAATGTAGTTAAAACGAATCCACTGAATAATATATTTATGTGCATAGCTTTAACATTACAAATAAGATTTGATACTATTTGCGCTTTTTTCTATGTATACAAAGTTATACTGAAAATCGTGATTAAATTGAAAATAATTTAATCGATGTAGATAAATTAAAAATCATGATAAAGTTAAGATAGATTTTGGAAGAAATTTAGCTTTAAAGTATAAGATTGCCAAATTCGGTGGAAAATAATCATATTTCATAATATTGTAAATTTACAGTAAAATAAGTTTTAGAAAAAGTAATTTTTTTTAAAAAAATGTAACACTGAATTGTAATTATTTGAATTGACAAATAATAATATAAATTCTGTTGCATGCTGTTATCTTTTATTAAAATTTATTAAAACAAACTTTAAAATAGAGTATGCTTTTTTACAAAATAAAATGAAAATCTTGTTGAGAATAATTTAATAACTTCAGAAGAAATGTAGAAGTTGTAATGTTAAAAGTTGAGATGTCTAATGAAAAATATATATTGTACTATAATATTATAAACTTATAAAAAAATAATTTTTAAAAAAATAATTTCTTAAGATATTATTCTATATTACACTGTATTATTTTAACTAATAATAATTGAATTTAATAAGGTGATAAAAACTAATATTAAATTTTAATTTCAAGAATTTATATTGTTTGTCATTTTTTATCATATCTTATATTAAATAGATTTAATTATTAATTTATTGTTTCTTTTGATATATCAACGCGGTTTTGATATGACACATTAATTTGAAATATATTAAAAAAAAAAAAAGAAAATAATATGAAATAATAATTGATATGAAAAATTATTATCTAATCTTCTTTTCATATATTTTTTTATTTGTTTTAAATATAAAGAAATTTTTATTTATTGAAAATATTCTACATGTACTCATTTTCCATCGAATTTCTCAATTATAAATATTTTTTTTCATTAAACATATGAGAAATCATTTTTAAAATGAAAACATATGATTTATTTGATAATGTTTGATTAAACTTCAACTGATTAAATTTCATTACGATCCTCTAATATTAGTACACATTCACACCAAATAAATGTAAATTCATATATGGATATAATTCAAAAGAGCATATCACAATGATTAATTAAAAGCTAATATAATCATTTACATGGCAATCAAATGCAATTAGTTCGAAAATATCATTTATATCATTTTTGAATAAATGATATATATATATTGAAAATTAAAAATATATAATATTAGGTTAACACATCATTTAACAGGTTTTATAAACATTTAGATAATTGTTATTTTCAAAAATAAAAATAAGTTTTATCTTAAACATGTATCGTAAGAACAGAATAATTTATGATAACAAAAATTTAAAAAGATTAAATTTTATTCTAGGTGAAAATATATTCCTTCGAATAATTTTTTTTTTGAAAATAAAATTTTTTTCGCTTGAAAAAATATATTCCACAGATTCATTTTATTTTTTTAGGAAAAAAAATCATCCTATTTCCTACGAATTTCAAATAACAGCAAATGAATGATTTCTGCACAAACGTAATTATATTCTCAACTTACTAGCATATTTTAATGTTAATCCCAATTCCTCAATAATAGTTTTATCTCGTTCTGCCCATTCAATGACCGGATCAATTAAAATCGCTGTTTTATCGTTGATATCGGCCAACAGATAAGTATATGTGCAGGATGTAGGATCGAACATCTAAGAATTTTAATTAAAATTTGTTAAAAAAAAAAAAATTAAAAAGATTTTTATGTCATTAGCAAAAATATTGTTTATCACAATAAAATTAAATTAATTAAGAATTAGTAAATAATGTTATTATTAAATTAATAAAGTATAATTGTTTATAATAATATACATGTTTTGATATTATATTAAATTATTGACAAGACCAAAATACATTAATTTTCTAATTTTTTACGACGAAATATTAAATGCAATATTAACTGAATGTCTAATAATTTCCAGATAAATAATCTAATGTATTTGATAAATTATAGTTGATTGATAGTTGAATATTCTATCTTATTTTTTTTTTTATATTAAAAAATATTCTAATTTTCCAATATCATTAAAAATATTATTAATATTATAAAAATATTACTTATATACATATATTTTTATATCAAAATAAAATATGAATATAATAAATTTGATATAATGTATAATATTATCATTAATATTATATGATTTATATAAATTATAAATTAATTAAATAAAAAGAAAAAAATACGCAATAAAAATTGATTTCTTAAAAATATTTATGTAATAAATCGCTAGATGTCAGTATAATTGTGATAATGAAATACATGAACAAATACATACACAGGTGTTAGAACGTTACTTGCGCAGTTATTGACTTACTTGACGAAACAAAAAATCTTTTGAAAACGGGATTGGTTCTGTTAGCGGTGCACATTTAACACAAGAATTCATAATAATTAAATTATTTTTAACAACTGAAAAATTTAGGTATTGTTGACACAATTTCTTCAACATATTCAAAATATAAACGATTATGTTATTTATGCCTAAAATAACATATCCTCACATCACAATTAATAGCACTGTAAGAACTTGATGCTTGTTAATATTAAAATAACTGAACGATAAAAACAAAAATCATTTTCTTAATTGTATTATCTTGATTAGATACTAAGTCTATCTTTTACTAATGTATATGTAATATCATATATAACATATGACATCATATATATATATATATATATATACATACATGAAATGAAAAATGAATGCAGTATTTTCATGTATAAAAATAAAATTAATTTATAATTTATTTTTTGTTATATTATGTAACAATAAAAAATAATAAACTTTATAAATTTTAAATCAGGATTACATTTATAAATAAATACTTAAATTCCATATAATTATAAATAAATGATAAATATAATTTAGCTAAGATACATTTCTATGTATTAAAATTTTTTGGTCGTTTCCTGTTAGTACAGCCATTTTGTAGTTTGCTTCTAGCACCATCTTTAACAATCTCTTTCCGGCTAGCTTTCGAAGAAAGGTGTGTACTTTAGTTAGTTTTTCTATTTTAGCATATTATTTTAGAAAAAAGATAGTACAAATTATGATTTAAAATAGTTAATATAGTTTATACAATATGTATACATATTTTTACATGCACGATGCATTTTAATTGAATTTCGTTATATTTGTTATTCTAATACACGTGTGTTTTAAGTGTACAATATTTGCAATATTAATTTTAAATTTATTTATAATTTTTCTTTCAGATGCCTTCCGTAACGCTTAAGGACGTTGATCAACACAAATTCGTAAAAGCTTTTGCCGCGTTCTTGAAAAAGTGAGCAATTGTTTTTATACTACCGGATACATAACCTCAAAAAAGTTTTCATTTCAAAAAGTGTTGTGAATAAATAACGAAATATCTATTCTCAATTTTTTTAAATATCTAACTATTTAATTTATTGGAAATTTTAGGACAGGTAAAATGCGAGTTCCAGAATGGGTAGATATTGTAAAATCTGCACGATTCAAGGAACTTGCTCCATATGATCCAGATTGGTATTATATTAGATGTGCTGCTTTAGTTCGTCATATTTATATTCGAAGTCCAATTGGTGTTGGAGCAGTAACAAAAATTTTTGGAGGACGCAAACGTAATGGTACTCATCCTAGCCATTTCTGTCGATCGGCAGGTGGTGTTGCTCGCAAAGCTCTACAGAGTTTGGAACAACTCAAACTCATTGAAAAATCTCCAGTTGGTGGACGTAAACTTACCAGTCAAGGCCGTAGAGATTTAGATCGCATTGCTGCCCAAGTCAAAGCAAAAAGCAAAAAACAACTTAAGTTACAAGAAACTCTTGTTCTCTAATTTCTCTATTTCTATAATAAAAATTAAAAAATCGTACATTTATATTCAAATTTTATTTATTCTACTACTATAGTTATTATTATAAGTTAATTTTAGAGATCTTAAATAATTTAATGATAACAAATAATATAAATATCACAAGATATATAATAATATAAATATCAATGTGCTATTATTTTTTTAATTGTTATCTATTATTTTTTAATATGTATTTTTAATTGTTAATAAGTTTCATAATTAAGAAAATTTTTAATTATAAATAGATAAAGTAAGAAATATAAATTTATATTTCACGATTATGTATTTTATATCTAAATGTATCTATTAATCTAAATGTAAGTAAATATGCATGTATATTGCAACATTCATAAGCAAAAATATGAATTGCAATAAAATCGTAAGATAGCAGCACTATCGAATTTAATGCGAATGACTTTCTATATAACCATAAATTTAATGGTGAAGGTATAAGTGTATACAGCGCCGCCTCAGTAAAACTTTGACCGTGAACGAAAACGTTTCGGCACCGATCAGGTTGATTTTAGATCGAGTGACGAGTAGGTGTAAAGAGATTTTTATAGGACGCAGCCGCGTACGCGCGTAAAAGTGTGTATGCAGCGTGAGCCGCGCGAAGATAGGAAAGGTGTGAAATATGTTTCCTCGCAGTCATTGCGGGAAACTTCGAGCGACCAAAATGTTAAAGAAATAATCGTGTCGCGCAAGTGTCTCTCGCTGGTAGAGAAGACAGACCGTGTGCTTGAAGTTTCTTTCTCTCTCTTTCTCTTTTCAACCCCCTTCCTTCTCTTTCTCTTTGTGTCCTTCCCCCCTCCCGTCGACGCTCCTCTCTGGGTCCGTTCGTCGCACCGGGACGACGTTTACCGTGCGTCACGGGAAACGGCATTGGGAGGAGACAGAAGGTGACAGCCCTCCCGCGGAATTTATGGTGCACACGGGAGAAACGGTGAAGTGCGTAGTGTTAGAGTGAAGTGAGTGTAACGGCACTAAGTGTTAGACCGGTGAAAAAAATTTTGGGGGTTTCCATCATTTCGGCCAATATAGGTGGAAAGAGAGAAAAAATGCCGGGCCTAATCGCCGTAAGCGAGTTCGTCGAGGAGACGAGGGAGGATTATAATTCACCCACCACGTCTACCTTCGTCTCGCGGATGCCACAATGCAGACAGACAATCACATCTCTCGAGGAGGTAAATCTTTTTGCACGATTTCCTTTTTTAAACGAATCGAACCAAATTTTCTCTTGTTTCGCATTTCCAAACGTAACCTTACAGAAGTTCTGATCGGTGGTCGAGCGCGTGTTTCAATGCGTGGGCGTTTCACAATCGCTTCATGGATGTTTTATATGTCTATGATATAAACGTGATTGATGTAATGATTTTTCGATGTAATATGCATTACATTAAATTCTTACAGAACTCAATAGTGCATGCAACTTTTATTGTGATTTTTTTTGGCTTGCATATCTATCAGTTTCCATCAGTTTATATTGATGATGTAAATATCGCTTACAGTCGATTCGCAATTTCCAGTTTGGGTAACGTACGGAGACATGCCGTCATTATTGAATTTCATCCGCGTAAGGTTAGAAGAAAATAGTGATTTAGAAGGAATTTTTAATCATACACGTATTGGATCGTTTAGATTGTTGGGAACAAGGAATGTTTATCATTTTCTCAGCCAATACATATACAGGTTTACTGATCGATGACAGTGTATTTTCGCAGTATTGCGTGTATCCATTTCTTACGATTCGTAAACGTTACGTATACGAGGATTTTGAATCGGATTAATTAGTATAACGAAAGCGCGTTAGAATTTATAAAATGGAAATATATATTAATATAATAATTAACATTCAAATATCATATTATTTCTGAATTTATTTCATTGTATCTAAAAATTATTTATTATAATCTTTTTATATATAAATATCATATTATTTATAACACATGAAAATATAAACTATTCATATATTTATATATACAATTTATAAATAGATACATAAAGTATCTTTTCTTAAATAACAATGATCTTTCTTCTTTATAATAGCATTTTTTTTAAAGAATTTAGATTTTACATTTTTTTTTTTTTTTTTTTTTTTGTAATATATTAATATTCGGATATCATGAAAAACTATATATTTTGTATAAAATATTTTGTAAAAAAAGAAAAATTTCATACTTTGCAGTTTACAATTTTTATTTGATAATTACATTTTAAACATTTAATTATAATTTTTTCAATATAATAAAAAAATTCTTCGTGTATCTAAAAGTCATAATAAATCTTTTATTTCAAATTTAAATAATTTTATATACAAATTCAAAAATAGGGCGGTGTCCAAATATTAATATATTCTTAATTATATTTCGTTAGAAAGAAAAAATTTTTTCATGCAATTCATGAAGATGCAAATAATAGAACTTTTGTAATAAGAAATCGTAATGTGCCAACGTAATTATCGGTGAGGAATGTTGTTGCGAGAGCCTTTTGTAATTTAAAAGCCACCATAATTCTTGCGGTTTGCGCTATTTAGCAAAAGTAACGTATATTAGCTTGAACTACGGCATCCGTTTTCAAGTTATCCGAGGTCATGAAAATTTTCACCGATGGCTGTTCGAATCAAAGTGCTTATGCAGTTCCACAGACATTATCGACATATTCTTTCGATTGTCCACCATATTTGTTTATAGCTTAAATTTTTTTTACGCATCTTAAGAAGTGTTTTGTTATAAAAAATATTTTATTTTAATATATATAGGAAAATACATGAAAATTGCTTTGTTAATATTTAAAAATATTATAATATATTTAATAAAATCAATAGTAAAATACTATAATTTTTAATGCCAATGGTTTACGATAAGATTTCTTTTTTTTATGCAATATAAATTATTTTTAAACATTTACGATAATTTTCGTATAATTACAAGATTACGTTAATTGTCGTACGAAATACTCATTGAAAGATAAAAAAACTTTTTTCATTTTTATATTTTCCTGGCATTGAATATTATTGAGATTATGGAATTTATTTCGATAAACATTTTTTTACAATATAAAAAAAATTATAACTATAATCAATTTAAAAATAGATATTTATAATTTTATTACAAAAATTATAATAAATTTAAATATTTTATTCAAAATATCATGTATAATGAAAATTTTTTCAAATATTTTTTGAAAATATTTAATTTTTAATAAGATATGCTATTTTATTTTAAAACAATTTTTTATTTGAAACATCATTAAATTAGAATTTTTTCTTAAAAATTTATTAAAAACTGGGTCGTTGTATATTAATGCGAATATATTATATATATTTAGATTAGATTACGCGTGAGGTTTAATTACAATCAATAAACACTGATAATGCAAACCTTATCATTGCAACACCTCTCCTTTGCATATTATCAAAACGTGGGCGTATTTTATAATAAGTGTAGATATGAAACTTAGTGCGGAAAGTGTGCCACACAGTCGGAAGTGGAATTTATGCATGGAAGTACTAAATTTGAAATTTCTTTTCATAAAAGAATACTAGATTGGTGTTAAAGCCGATAACGTAAAATATTCATTCAATAAAATATTTAATAAAAATCATATCAAAATTTTATTACAATAAATAACAGTTATTTATAAAATACAAGAATAATTATATAAACATATAAATATATATTATATCGAATTGAAAAACATAAGAAAATAAAAAATTATAGATCAAGAATTATAAATATTATCAGATCAAGTATATTCATATTATATATATTTGTAAGAAACTAATGCAAAAAATTTCACTTATTTATTTATTATTAATCAAGTGAATAATTATTTTTACAAAGTTTATTAAAATTATTTCAAATATAAAATTTCAATTGCTGATAAAAAAAATAAAATCATAATTAGTTTCTACTAATATTTCCTATTACATTTTCTATTATATTCTAGAAATGAGAAATAAATAATTTATATAATTAACACTTTGTTTAAAAAAAACAATATTTGTGATAAAGAAAAATGCAATAGATGATATAATGTAATGATATAAACAAGATTAATATAATAATAAATAAGATAGTAGAATGATAAGAAAATACAGTTTTAAAGAATATAAATGGTTAGAAAAAAATGTACGTATTTTTATTTTCCAATAAAATATCTTTATATCAGATTCTATATTTTATTTGTAATCATATAAAAATACTGATTCTTGTTGATTGTGATTTAATATTATATTATCTATTGGAATTTTTGTTTAATTTAGATATTTTCATTATTAAATTCAATATTATAAATATTTCACATTATTTTTTGTTTTACAACAGTTTTTTGAATTTTATAATTAAATTCGTGTTAAAAATAAACAAAAATTAAACAAAGTATATTTATTTTGAGTAAAATTTTTCATTAATAATTGATAATTTCATTAATCAATTAAAATATATAATATTTGATAAATATTTTTTATCAATATTTCTTAATCATTTTATAATATTTATAATTCTCTATTAAAATATTTTTTAAACAATAACAGTATTATATAAATAATGTTATATATAAATAATTAACAAACGTGCAAGAAAAATTATTAGTTTTGATAACAATTTATACGAATCATATAGAGCGAATAGAAAATCATACAAATTGATACGAGAGGAAACACATTAAACAGATCTTTTTTAGAAACATTTTGTATATTTTTTTTACATAATATTTTATTTGTTTTCTTTCTAAAAATAGGGTAGTATTTTATCGTTTATTTAATCGACTTGATTTATGGAACACCATAATAGTAATAATGTTAATAGAATAAATATTCTTCATGATGATAATAATGGAGGTAAGAACGGTGCTTAAAGTAATTAGGGAATTATTTATTCGAATGACTTTAATGCAATAATCAATACTCTTTCGATATTCTAAAATATGTTATTTGTAAAGAAAACAATCATAAATTATTGGTAAAGATATAATATCTATATAAATAAATTTCAAATAAATTTTTCGATAAACATCAATTTTAAAATTGCAATTTATATTTTTTTTTTTACATTTTAAAAATTTTATAGTTCAAGTAATATTTCATTTTAATCTTCAATCAAGAAACAGAATTTCGATTGCAAAATTTCCATAATGTATGTAAAATATGCATATGTTATTTTTAGTTAAATTTTTTAATATATATATATATATATTAATATATTTTTTAATATATTATTTTTTAATAAGTTTTTATTCTTTTTCTTTTTCAAAATTTTGTTAATTATTATTTTCTAAATTTATTATTAATTTTACGAATATTTAATATTCTATTCTAGATAATTTAAAAAATCGATTTTCAATTTAATTTGTACTTAAGTCATCTTAAGTATAAAACGGAGAAATGGAGATTTATAAATAGCATACATATGAAACGATTAAATTATCACAATTGTACGTAAAATGTAACATTATTATCATGGCAATAAATAATGTTCGATGTATATTTATTATATTCGATAAATTAATAGTAAATACAATGAGCAGGATACGAATCTGTTTGCTTTCTTTATCTTATGTAAAAATATTATTTCGAAATACGTATCATAAGAAAATAATAAAAAGTTTAAGTGGTATAAGTTTTGGAATAAATTTATACCTATGTAAATTTAAATAACATAATTTCACAAATCTATAAAATTTCAAATTCAAAATAAATATTGCAACAGCAGGCATTAGACATTTCTTCAAACACAAACTTTTCAAGTTATTTTAAAACAATATTATCGTTCAAAAATATTTCCATATGAATGGAAATTCGATTTTCATTGCTTTCCAATGAAGTGCACAAGGCAAAGGAAAAATCTTCGAGAAAATAACGCGTATATGTGTCTGTGTGTTACTTTTGCCTTGAAAGTCGATACCTGTACACCTATACCAAGTTACTTTTACGATGCAATTCAAGACTTGGTGCTTTCTTGCAAATTATACTCGACCACTTCCTTCTGCTTTGATGCGCCACCAGCTTCCGGGTCAGTTCGTTTTCTCCTGCTTCTCCTTAACGATCTAGAGGACTTCCCACAGGCTGCGTGTGATCATCAAAGTAATCTGTTTCTCGAGTAATTTTTTCTTAACATGAAAATGGAAATAGATTTACTTCAATGAATTTTTTTGAAAATCAAGATGGTTTATTTTATTTTGAGAT